ACTAGGAAACTTAATCAAAATAGAACAGTATTTAAGTGAGCCAGGAGTTATGACCCCTAATGATAGCTATAATCATTCTATATTCCACTAACTCAAATTTTTCAATGTAAGCTCAGTTATAATAAAACAGTTACAGTGACCAGATGGTTGCTATTTTCACAAATGATGACATGTCCAAAAGAGAGAGAAAAAATTATGTGATGCTTGTACTTGTCGAGGAAGAGGATAGGTTGTGCTCTTGGCTGTTGTATCAACATGTCAACATCTCGCCAAACAAGTATGCTTGGTCTTCCATATTTGATAGCTGGAATGTTGGCTTTATCACCATTGATGCAGTCTCGAGCAATGGCACAAGTGATAGTGTGTGTGTTGACATATTGCCAAACTCAGTGATTTTATAACAAGAGTATTGGCCCTAGTTGACTAATTGGACAATAACACAATAGGCACTATTGTTGATGTGTCCAAACCCCATGGGTAGACAGGAAGAGGATAGGTGTGTGTATTGCAGTGGTGGTCAGACACTACTTGTAATTTATTCTCTGTTTATTAACTCAGGCATCACATAATATATATTTGAAATGCCATCATTTATAAAAATAGCAATAAGTAACTAGATTATAATCATGACAAGAATAATTTTGAATCTAACTCCCTGAACTTCCGTAATTGAATATTCATAATATTGAAAGTTATCTGTGTCCTTATACAGGTTATTAATTGCTCTAGACTTGAAAAGTTTCAAGCAATCAGCTTTGACTTGGAACAGTCATAGTATCACATGAAAACTTATGCAAGCAGATCATGGAGACCTTTGAGCTGTCATATACCTAGTTGGGATTTTACTTGTTGTGAATCTCATATATCAAACTCAGCATCTTATATAAATTTTCCCCCTCCCTATGTCACACTGGTCTTGCAAATTTGGCATCCCAAAATGGTAATTTTGTGATTTCTTTCAGTATTTTTGGTGCTAAGAATTTCCTGATAAGATTCCATGAATTGAGTTTTTATGAATGGCATTTTTGCCATTTGAATTGAGTACAATTTTGAAGTTTTGATGTGTTTGAATGTTCTGGCAGTTTTACTTATGCTGACTGATTCTCTACTGACTCACTTGGAATATGTTAGAATAATGTACAACTAGTCTAGTAGATAAACTCAATAGATAGTCAGTATATGGCATTGTTTGCCTTACCGCATAGATCCCTTACAGGAGTGTAATTGCAATGCTCACTTTGATCCCATCACATCTCAGATCAACCGGAATTTCAACATAAAATAGTACTATATAGTGCTGGACCATGATCAGACTATAGTCAAATGGTGATCTGACCATGGTCAGAAATTGACACTTTGGGATAAATTTTTGAAGTCAAAATTTGATCATGAGGTAATATCACAGAGGAACCTCAGACCTCAGAGCTGACAGCTCAAGCCTCAATCTTGCACTGCAACCTCAATGCGCAAAGCACACTCCTCAAATACAAGCATCACAAACCTCAGAATCTTATGAATATGCCTCATTCCTTAGCTCAACAAGCACTGAATGCAAGCTCATATTTTCCAATGAAAAAAAAGGTATAACAGTTGCTAGAGGCCGAGCGTGGGGGGCGAAACATAGCAACAAGTTTCCAGTTCTTCTCTGGGATGGGGGCTGAGTTGAGAGGCAAGTCGGAGGCTGAATTTCGAGGAGGAGCTGAGGGGAGATGGGGGGAAGAGAAGGAAGAAAGTGGTGTGACTGGTAAAAATTTTCCGTTACCATAGAAGTTGATGCATCATTTGATATATATCCCTATCGGAGCACGCAAGGTGAGTACCAACATTGAGCACTAATATCCGAGATCTTACTGCAAACTATACATTCAATCATCCCGCCGCGTAAACTTCCGCGCCCGAGCACTGCCAAGCAGGCGGGCTGCCGCACGGCTTGGCGCTTGGAAGCGAGTCGAGCGACGCAAAGCGTCACCAGATGCGGGGCAGTAACTGTCAGCAGGTGGGAGACGTGTGCGCGTGATGCACCATCGTGCGATCATGATGTGGCTGTACATCGCCCCGCGACGCGCGTCCTCTGCCCCCAATTACTCGTCACCACAAGGCGATCAAACAACTCGGACTCACAATGACTTGCCAAGAAGGTGATCGAACGTCGTCGAAGGCCACGCACGGTCGCACCCACAGCGGGAATTCATATAAAAGGCCGGGGGAGCCGTCCTCTTCCACAGCACCCTGCTCTGCTTGTCATGAGCTCAGCCACAGATGTATCCGTCCCCGCTGACGTCGACGACGACCCGCCACCAAGCCGCGGAACACAGCGTGTCGCCCCGCTCGTTGGAAAACTTGATCACGGTGTGTCGTCCGCGGCGCTTGGTCGCGCTCACTGATAGTTTCAAGGCAACGTCCGTCCCGCCGCCACTCCGCGGCGCGCTTTTGTGCGTCGACTCTAAGAGCGCCTGTGCGTTCCTCGCCTCCGTGCCAGTCGCCTCCCCACTCACGTTCTCCTCCCCCAGTTCTGGCGTGCATCCTCGTAACTTGTTTGTGGAATCTGGATGCATTAGGCGCAGCACCCTAGAAGGAGAGACCAATGGCTCGTCCCCTTACATCCATTCCCACTCCTCCCCAATGGTGTATTCCACAACACTGGCAGGCTCTCAGTCTCAGCCAACTTCGCTGCTGTTGCTGCAGGCAGCAGCGTTTGTCAGATTCTGCCGGCCAGTGCCAGAGAGGTACACCTTGAAGTCCTCGACTGTCCTCACCGACGCCACCGATGGCCCAATTGACGCCACACCCCTGCGATGGATGCTCCTCCAGAATGTCGGCGAGCAGTGATGACGCTCAATTGCTGCGACTGCCACTGCCATCCACTGGTGCCGCCCACCTAGGCCTGGCCCCTCTTGCAGTCGAGTGTCCGGATGGTGTACCGCCTTTTCCGCTTGTGTTCAGGCCGTCTGCCAGTGATGCCACGCATGGCTGCCACGATCACCGCACGCATGTGGTTCTGGCGGACGACACGTACGGAGGGTGTCGTCTGCGAGATCCCCGGGCTGCAGACGGCGCGTCTCTCCCCAGCCGCTCCTAGAGGACGACGGCCCAGGTTGATAGTCGGCTGAAGTCGAAGACACCCCGGGCCGCAAGTGGCGACAAAGGTTGCGTTACACGGCGCTCCTCGGTGGGAGCAGCGAAACTGCTGATGATTGTGGTCGACGCAATGCTGGTAGTGGACATGGCTTTGTCGTCGGCGCGGAATGAAGATGGTGGTTCCATGAGCTGAATTCGAGGGAGGACATGGTGGTGATTGTGGAGGGTTTGGATGGGGAGCGAACAGTAAAGTAGTAGTGCTCTCTCCTCATCACACTGTGGTTTGACTTGAAGATTGTGTTACATTCTTCAATACCTGTGATAGAATCTAGCATCAGAGATAATTTGTAATGATATCCAATCATCCACCTTCTTACATATTTCCGATTCCACCGCCCCCCTCCCATCGCCTTTCACCGTAGCGACTTCTTCCTTTGCTTCGCTTCGGTCGCAAGGGTTAACAGTGGCGCGCGAACCCCCTTGTTGCGAGCGGCAGCAGCGGAACAGTCGTGCGCAGCGAGGTCGAGTCTGTTAAGGCATTTGTGCGAAGGTATCCGCCGTTGCTGTGGGGGTGTAGTCCGGCTTCGCCACCGGGCCTTCAGCGGAGTAGCTGGAAGAGGCAGGCAACTAGTATGGAATCGGCCAGCTGTTGTGTAGATGCGCGCTCACGGCTTCGCAGGCAAGCCTGAGTTTGGTGGGCTGAGAAGTCAGTCGTGAATCAGTATTCAGAAAGGCGGATACTTAATGACGCACGACTGTTGTTAGAGCCCCATATTGACCCTCTACACAGTCCCGCGGTGTGGCTTTAATTCCAGCGCGCATGGACCTACCCTTCGCCTCCGAATCACCCGCCCGTTCCCTTGCGTTTACGGTTCTGAGTCCATCGACCGCATCGATAACGTGGCAAGAGCGAGCCTCAAGTCTTCCATCACAGTCACCAGATATGAAGCGGCACTTGCGCCGCGCGATACAGCAGCGCAGACCATTGCCAACGGTGGTGCAGAAGAAGCAGTGACAAAAATCAGTAACGCCGTCCATCAGGAAATTTGCAGTGTCCTGATGTGCGTTGGCGAAGCTGGCCAACGCACATCAGCTGGTGGAGTGTTGGCCAACGCTGGCCAAGCTGCACCGTGTTGGCAGGGCGTCGGCCAGTGGCGGACCAGCGTGGCGCAGCTTGGCCAGCGTTGGCCAACAGTTGGCCAGCTGATACCCAGCAGCACCTCAAATGGGCGTGGGCGCGAGCGCGGGAGCGTAGTCAAAGGCAAATGGGATAGTGTTGATGTATATTAGTGGAGAGCCGGCTAGATAACATATCGCGAGATGTCACATGTGTTCATGTGTGACATCTCGCGTCTATCTTTTCTCTCAAACCACCATGCCCAACACACCATATAGGGAGGACCTCGATGTCGATATCCCCTCATCACAACCTGATGAATACGACGTGCTCACCTGGAGCAGCGCTACAAACACCGATGAATCACGCTTTGACATCGACGCCGACAGTGTGGGAGTGAGAGCCATGGAAGATGACGCGCATGTACGTGCTTATGGCCTTGTGAATCTTCCTTGATTCATCTTTTCTCAGCAGGACTCAGATGACAATCTGACATTCATCGAGCGCTGGTTCAAAAACAACCCTGTCCTCCGGGTTACCAGAGACGGCCGCAAATGCAGAGTGCCCCGGCCTCAGCCCAAGGTGCGTGCTAGTAGAACGATGTATTCCAGCTTAAAACATTTATAGAAATTGGATCCGGACCCTGAGTTGGAGCGATTTCGGGCTGTAGTCCTTGCACGCTCTCGTCAGACAAAACGTGTACGGCTTAAACGGAGAATCCTGTTCTGGATAAGAAAATGGCTGCGGCGAAGCGAGAGAGAAAAATATTGTGTCGTATCTTGTTGCAAGCTCAATAAGATATATTTCAAGAATCTACTTCCATTTCAGAATCACTCTCCTCCTCCTCATTGAAATCTGCCATCTTCTCATCGGAATCATAGTCAGATTCCCGCGACTCGTCAGAGTCAGAGCCGCTGATGTTATCATCCGAGTCCGAGTTTTCCGCAATGCCCTCAACACTCTCGTTGGGGTCGTCTTCCTGATCCTCGACTGTGAGCTCACCATGCCCTGCATCCAAATGTCCTATCCCACCACCCACGTATCGCATCACCATGTCACGATCGACAAAACTAACAATTGTTGAGAATTTGGTAAGTTAAATTGTTAAGAAATCACTGACATGCCAACGTAGAAAGCTTCCCAGTCACTTGTCTCGTTTGGGAATCGGGCAGCGGTCGTTGACTTGGTTTGAAGGAGCTCTGATGTACGGCCACGGCGGAATACTGGCATGAGGTGGGCGCCACGGACAACATGCTCAGGGTCCAGGAAGCCAAATGCATATGGATCGGTGTCGGGAACGAACCCCATGACAGGCAGACGGCCTTCGCGAAGTCCCGAGGTGTATCCAGGCTGGTCTCCTAACCAACGAACCCATAAGAACTCCATCCGTACTGGCCGTGTACGATCTGTGGCAGTGACACGGGAGACGGTTGCATTAAGAATGCCAAGAACTTGAGCATACCAATATGGATGAGCACCGCGTTGATGGGCGTTGGGAGAATTGACCATGACAAATGGAAGGGCACTTGAGTTCATGACATCTTGATCTCGCCGCACGTCGTAAGTGGTGTAGTTGACACGGAATAGCTTGTTCACATATATCTTGTCGCCCTGGATATCAACTGTGCGGCGCTCAGCATCAGAGAAAGTATGATTGGCATCACCATCAAAGGGAAGGTTCAACAAGCGAGCCAGAATATGATCCTGTAGATGCGGAATGAAAAACTAGAAGGCATCAGTCATCAATAGTGGAAGAAAACCAGTAAATACCTTCTTGGCTGGGTCCCCACCCTTGGGACTGAAGTCCTTATAAAGACTCAATGGTCTGCGCCGAGAAAGACTGATACAGTGGTGGACTTCCAAGGCTTTAGCTCCAAATGGGTCAGCAAAGACAAGTTCAGTGCGTTTCATGCGTCGTGGTGCTGTGTTACGCTTATTCGGAATGGCTCTTGGTTGACTCCGAGCCTTGTAGTAGTCGACGGCTTGCGACCATCGAGCACGCTCTAGACGTAGAACCCGTTTTGCGATTTGCGACTCATGGTCACGCTTGCTGGTAACGGAATACAAACGCTTCACCAGGCGGTGTAGACTCTCTCCCTGTCAATAAATGAGCCCAGTGTCAACATAAAAAAGGAAGCAATAACCAGACGTGTTGAAAAAACATCAGTCGTGGAGAAAAGACGGATGGTGGAAGGATAATCGGGCATTGCGTGATATTTGTATGTGTTGAGATTAAGAGCTTTGCGCTTCTTGCTGCGTTTCCTTGTCCCGGTGGCATCTTGAGAAGGAGGAGCTTCGGTTCCGGCAGCTGTGCGCTTAGCTGCATCCCTGGCACTCTTGCGGTCACGAGCACTAGCTTCGTGTGGCAGCTCGTATGTCGCAAACCGAGTACAAGTGGTCCGCTTGAAGTCTCTCATCAGACGACCGATTTCGGGAGTCAACACACGGAGGTGCTCTAGCGTAGGGTCTGTATGCATCCTAAGCTTTGTGAAAGAATGCCACTCTCCCAGACGGAACAGCAGCTTGAGAACACGAGCGTTATCTTCTGCTGGGAAAAGACCATCGAAGACGGGAATTGCGCATTGAAGAAGGTCCTCGAAATCTCGCGCACCAAGCTTTTTCATCTCAGATGCGTTGTTCGGAAAGCGACGGATAGTGTCGAGACCAAATGTTGCTAGGCTACGATAACTAGTTGAGAATTAGTAGTGTCTAAGCAAGAATCCTCTCAACCTACCGCTTGTTAAGCTCAGCTACCAGCTCAACTCCGTTTTGCTGTGCATGAAGCAATCGAATAAGGTGTGTGAAAAGGTTCTTCCAGACGCCAAGCTCGAACTCGTGCATAAAGTCGACAACGAGCATTCGATGTAGATCAAAATCATCTCCGAGCCGCTCGATAAATGCATTCTGCTCAAATAGGTAAGTCTCGCGAATCATCTATTTCAGGTTTATCACCTTTGTCGCCACAGATGAGGTCGGTTTGAGGAGTGCTTCAACCATGTTCGATCCAATACCGTTGGCGAGTCGATAGATCTTGTCTCGGGCATTGCTGACGGCTGATCTAAGATATGTCCGAATATTCGCACCAAGACGGACACTAATATCGCGAACAAAGCCCATGAGATGCATCTCAGTCTTTGGAATGAGACAGCGAGGGCAGGGACACAAGCCGGGACGGATAGTTGCCAATAATATCCTAAAGCAGTCAGTATTGATTCTTGTTTGCGGACTTCAGCTTACTTTTCGGGATAATCTGCAGAATACATAAATATACGGGGATATACCCGCCGCTCCACCCCATCAGCACATCGAATAACGATTCCATATCGGTAGGCGTGAAGAAATTCGTCATCTAATAGGAATTTCCATACTGCGTGGAAAAGCTCTCTCCGGCAGTGTGTCATGATATCATCCTTCTGTGTTTGCCATTTGACATGGAATTGAGAGATGAAGTCCTGAACTGAGTCCGGAAGCTGCAGCAGGGGGTAAGAAGACGGAAAGCAGTAAGTGGACTGGGTTGACAAACCGAAGGAATATAAGCGACATGATGCTCGGCACCGAAGCCTGGCTTATCACGGAAAAACTTGGAGAGGTTTCCGAAAAGCAAATAGATTGGCCATAATTTGGCGGTCCCGAAATTTGCAAGATGCGTTGAGTCCGACCAAAACATTAGTGCTGCAACTGTCTTCTCAAGAGTGCAATCGAGGGCGTCTGGTGGAAGCTCGCCACGTTGTCGAATCTTGTCGTGCTCGTCAATGAAGGCATCAGAGTTATAGAGCTCGCTGAATACGCGAACATCCTCTCCAGTGCTCGGAACTCGATGGAACGATTTGAAGGGCGAGAAGTGAAAGTGTCGCGATAAGGGATCAGAGAAGGCCGCCCGGACAATGGATGTCAGGCTCCGATACCATAGGCCTGGGACCGCAACTCTCTGTGGCGGGATAGTCGTTGACCCAGATGGTATCTCGATGTCGACAGAAGCTTGCTGAAATTGCTTCAAAAGCGGAAATGCTTCCTCAGCAGCTTTCTCGACTTCTCGTTCTGCTTGCACCGCTTTGAAGCCCCGAAGATCAGCAGTATTGAATTCGGGATGCAAGAGCACCTCCGACACCAGTGAATCTAACTGCGCAGACGATTTGGTGGTATGCCCGTTGTTCTGCCAATCAAGCAGCAGCAGCGAGGCTGAGGTATTGAGACGATTAATTGGTGGGACCGGAAGATTGGCGGGCTGGTGCGGGAAACCGCCAGCTTCATTCGCGGGAGCAAAATAGTTGCAGAGATCATCAAGACCAAGTAGGGTGTCGGGGTCGTATGTCGGACGGTGTAGATACGACCGCCAGAGCCCAAACTTATTCACCGCTGTTCGGAATGTGTCACGAACAATGAGATGAACACGACGCTGGGGCACCGGCTCAGGCTGACGTAGCGCCGTGGCAGGCAAGTTGTCTGCTGGTGCCAGATTGGTCGGCAGTTCCTCGCGATAGTGTCCCGGAAGGCGGATTGTTCGTTGGGGACGACCTGTTGCAGTGACAGCAGGTGTAGGCGGTTGAAGAACCAGTGTTGGTGGCTGAGATGACGGTTGCGCTGTCGGAATCATATTCGGCATTGTTGCTGGGCTCTCCAACTCAGCGTTGGGCAGTCCTGGTGTTTCGGAAGCCGGCTGCTGAGCCACCAACTCCCCCTCCACTACCAGCTCTCCCGCCTCGATGTCCGGTATGGGTGCATTTGCTTCCATGAAAGGAGAAGGCAAAAATTCTGATGCCGATGTAGCATTTGCAGCGGGCGGAATTGCCTGGTGGTCAAGCCAATATTAGAACAAATACTGGGCCTATACATGAGGGTAACTCACCGGTACTCTGTGTTGGCCTCGACCTCGGCCCCGTCGTTGTCGACTGGGAAGTGTTGGGCCCAACAGTGGAGTAGAGGAGTTATCGCCGCCGAGCGTTGAAATCATGTTGATATAAGCAGAGCAGTTGGCTGTATGTCGGCTGAGAGCGGCCTCGCTGAGGCGAGTTTCGCCGCAGACACAAGATAGCACCATGATCAGAATGATACAGAAACTCAAGCTGAATATGAGTTGGTTGCCCGTGTAGATGTGTGTTGTGCGGCTGGTGTTTACTGCCATCTGGGGCGCAGCACAGTCGAAAGGTGTTGCAGTCGTCCGAGTTGCCGCCAATGGTAGCTTGTCGTCGTCGTTAGTTTCAGGAGCAAGTGGGAAAGGGGGAAAAGTATCAAATTCATTCTGCGGTACGATCACATGCAATACAAGCTGTGCGCGTCGATCCTATCCTCGCGTTTCTCGATCGCAACGTGACTCGCGCTGGTTTGTTGATTCTCTTGGCCTTTAGCAAGATAAAACCAAAAGGCGATCGCTCACCGTTGTTTGTCTCTAACCCCCATCACCCCAGTGAGTTTCTCCTCCTTCGCGCCACTTCTCAGTTGTCCTCCCTGCCTTACCCATCCCCAGATGCCTTCAAACCATCGTCGTTCGTCGCCACCATCGCGCCCTCGTCATTCGTCGCCTCCATCGCACCATCGCCATCGATCACCTGCCTCACGCTCGCGCTCGCGCTCACGCTCACCGGCTCGAGGTCCTACCCGCCGCCCAGGAACCTCCACGCAAGATGGTGCATCGTCGCCAAACCCTCGACCTCGAACCCCTTCTCCCCCACCAACCCAGCGAGGTCGTAAACGAAAAGCGCCACCGTAGGCCCCACAACCTTTGCGACCCAGAAACTAACTCTCTCTTTTAGAGTTATTTCGGCCTCTGCTAGTGGTCGGCCCCTTCGTCGTGTTGTAGCTTGCTTCGGCAATCTTGCAACCATCATGTACGAGGCCCAGATGCTTGAGAAGGACCCATACGACGATGATGAGACGATTCGACGGATGTTTGAAGATGAGCAGTACACACTTGAGGAAGAAGATAAGTTTCTAGACCAAAAATGCGCGTGAGTTAAGTTTGTGGTATATCTTTCATTAACTCACACACCTTGAGCGATGAACGCAACTACGAGGCCAACATTTTACTCCACCGATTGCTCCCCGGTATGGCCGCAAAGAAAGTCAAGCTTGCTGCCGAAGACCTCCACGCGTGGATTCAGACGGTATGTGTCTGCTTGTTGAAGGCTCGGCTGACCTTGTTGCTCAGGTCCAGCGTGGGGCCAACACTGGGCGGGCTGAAGACTTCGGAAAGGTCACTGAGTCGGTCGCAAATTGGATCAACGACGATATCAGCAAGAATGTGGCTGATATTTGCGCCTTCGACTACACTCCAGCTGCCTACGAGACTAATGAGCATGGAGAGCAAGTACTAATCAAAAAACACGCACCATATCTTGTCCCAGACGACCGCCATGGACGTGGGACGAAGCACGACATCACTGGCGCGCTGCTTTCGTCAGTCGAGGTTGACTGGGCGGATGAAAGGTGGGTTGTCACTTCTTGTGACGCGCTTCTTACCTTTTCCCAGCATCCGACAGAAGATCGATGCTGGTCGTCAAGATTTCGCGCCCAACTACTACGTCCGCGCGCTGTATGCTGGCTTTCGCGGGGACCCCAATGATGTAGAGAAAGGCTTTCTCAAAAGCCGATACTTGGTTCGGGTGTGTACTTTCTTTATACTTGCTCTAATGTATTTAACCCATCTGCTAGACTGTCTCGGCCATCTTTCTCGCCTCCACTGAGGTTGAAGATGGGGAGGAAGACTCTGAGAACCAGCCACCGGCAAAGAAGCCAACGAAGAAGCGGTCAAGCACCCGCAAGACCTGCGCCGAGCTAGCAGGCCTTAATGGCAAGATCACTGGACGCGCTATTGCCTACGGGGCAGTTCAGGTGCGTGTTCCTCCCTCTGCATATGGCTCCATTCTCACCTGCAACTTCAGCTCTACCTATCGCTAACTACTGTCTACCAATGGGCCGAGGTTTATGGGGGGGGTTTCGCTGCCCCAAATGTATGACTTTTTGGTGGACTATTTTGAGGAGCCCGCTCCCAATTCAGCAGCCCGCAAACGCGTCGACGAGCTGCTTCAGTGGTGGAACACGTACGCATTGCACTGTCATCCATCCCTGCCTGACTTGATTCCAGGCGGCTTTTCAAAACGCACGCAGCTTCCGCGAGCACCTACCGTCCGTCCCGCAACTCACGTGCTGCCTTACGAGCTCATCGCGCTGCCCTGGAGCCAACGAATAGAGAATAAGCCATGTATACGTTTGTTTTGTGAAATATATTGCTGTTTTATTTTTATTTTTTTGCGTGAAAATAAGTGGATTGTGGTCGAGTTGCCTCCTGCTGACTGTAGCTTGGCTGATACCCCACCAGCCTGGTCAAGTCCCCACCGGTACGACCAAACACAGCCCAGATGTCGAATATCTGACAAGAATATCGCCTTGCTGGTGGCAGTTTGGTGAGTGTTGGCGAAAATGAGTCGCCCTGGTAAGCACTCACTTGGCCAAGTGGGTCGCCAGCATGGCCGCGCTGGTGTCGTTGGTGAGCGCTGGTCAACGTTGACCATGATCGCGCAAATTTCCTGATGCTCACATCGATCCCATACCCGATCAGCCCTCCCACGCTTTCTCCTCTGCACGACGACGTCGCCGAATGAAGAGCGCGCATCCAGCACAATTTCCAACAGACTTGGGCGCGGTTGGGTATGCGCGTTAAGGAGGCTATAGTGCATTGTTTGGGTAGTGGACTTGGCTGGCTGTGCGGGCGAGAGAGACAGGCGCGGGGTGTGTGAAGGTGGTGGCCCACTGGTGGGTTGTGCAATCGCACAGTGGGTCTTCAATGGTGCGTGATTCCTCTATCACTTGCTAAGGCTTATGAATGCCCCCAGTGTCTGCATGGTCTTCCTCATCGCGCTGCCCTTGTTCTTTGCGACAATTAACACAATTGGTTTTTAAGCCTTTTATTCTGTCGCCATGCCAAATCATTTGTCTCCCGGGCGGTGAGTGGACAGGCGAACTACCTTATGTTTATAGAAAGGACTGTCAAGACAAGAATATCCCATTTGTCATTGTTGACGGCGGCGCACCCACAAACACTATCCCCGTGTATAAAGGACAATAGCCAAGACTACGCTTCTCCACCCCAACGCCCATGGAGCCTGAGGCCACCAACTCTTCTCCAGCATCACCTTCATTTCTCTCTCCAGATGGTTACTTCACATCACCTCTCCGGTCTGTTGTAGCCCGGACCTATATCCTTGATTTGCTCCGGGCCAACACGTCGCCTGCCAATGCTGCTGAACTGCAAGCCTCTCAAGATGTGTTGGAGAGCGACGCACGTGCTGGATAATCTGGCATCTAGGTAATCTATTGATCAAGTCTTAGATCTTGGTCCTGGACGACGAGAGAGCCCCTCTATCGTCTCTCTCGTCGTACCAGGTGTGACCCCTCTTTACCCACTCATACATGTACTAATATCTATCGTCTCTCTCGTCGTACCAGTCTAAATATACACATATTTCACTCTGTGTTTAACAGGTTATGGGCCCCGGCTGAAATCTGCGCAACACAAACTTGATTCAGCCCTCATACATCCAAACTGATCCCTAGCCACTACCCAACCAACCTCCACTTGACATACTCCACCCACACACACCATCTCAACCACGTTCCCGTACCAGCACCTATTCATGACATCGTCAGCTGATAGCGAGAAAGAGTGGCGAGCCCTGAAGCTCACCCCTATAACCGAAAACAACGACGGCTCTAACAACTACGCTGAGTTTCGAACAAAGTCCATGCGAAAGCTGGACGCTGCTGGCTACTGGAAGTACATTGATGGCGAAGAATACAACCCACCAGTTATTCCAAAACTCATTACAAGCCAAACATTCACTGGGCTTGATGCGACTGGCCAGGAGACCACTATCACCACTCGCGGTAATGAAGTCGATGTCAACGTCGCAAAGAAGGCCGCAGAGGCCTGGCTGATTCAAGACAAGAGAGCTCTGTCTATCATTGTCGAAGCTACTCCTATGGCAAAGCTCTATGTGGTAGACGACTGCAAGTCAGCACGAGAGGCGTGGATAGCGTTGAAAGAAGCTTACGAACCTACGAACACTCTCACAGCAATCACGTTGAAGGGCGAAATTTCTTCGTACATGTGCGGCAGCAAGACCCCGATAGCTTGGAGAGAGATGATGCAAGGAAAGTTCCAGGATCTTCGACGCGCCGACCCCGACATGATGCCCGACCACGAATTTGCCAAATGTCTGGTGACCAATATGCCCCAGGATGAGAAGTGGCGGTATTGCAGAGATTCTCTCTTGCAAGAGATGACTGTTAGCGAGAAGCAAGGAAAACCGATGAGCTCGGCGGCGGTCGTAGCACGCCTGCGACAGGAAGAAACAAATAAGAAAGTTCCGGTACCGACATCCGAATCTAACGCCGAAGTCGAGAGTAGCGCTGTACCAAGCGCATCGTTAGCTCAACCTATCAACCAGGTGCAACGCAGATTCGATCGAGCTCACCAGAGAACTGAGCGTCGTGCGGCACCATACGATCGTCGACGCGGGCCCCCAACACCCTACTCTCCTCCCGCAAATGGCAGTCGTCTGTTTTGCGAGAACGTCGAGTGTGGAAACCCAGTTGGCCATTCTCAAGCAGACTGCGTGGCTTACAAAGGAGGAAAAGAAGGTCAATATCCACGAAACTACAGGGGAGCTCGAGATATTCACCTTCCACCGGACCAAAGAACTGCTGAACGCAGACGCCAAGCCCGTCAGAATCTCC